CTCTGGGGCTTAGCTGCGAACCAATTTTCGCCTAAGTTAAAAACCACTCCGAGTGATGAACTTCCCTCTCACTCGGGGGCTGAGCTGCGAACCAGCTTTCGCCTAAGTTAAAAATCATTCCGAGTGACGAACTTTCCTCTCACTCGAAGATTTAGCTGTGAACCAGCTTTCGCCTAAGTTAGAAACCACTCCGAGTGATGAACTTTCCTCTCACTCGGAGGCTTACTGCAAACCAGCTTTCACCTAAGTTAGAAACCACTCCGAGTGACGAACTTCCCTCTCACTCGGGAGCTTAATTGCGAACCAGCTTCCGCCTAAGTTAAAACAACCGCTTTGAGTGATGAACTTCCCTCTCACTCGGAGGCTTAGCTGCGAACCAGCCTTCGCCTAAGTTAAAACAAACACTCTGGGTGAAGGCTTCCCTCTCACTCGAGGGCTTAGATGCGAACCATCTTTCGCCTAAGTCAAAGACTCAAGGAAAAGCATTCGAATAACTCCAGTAGTTCAAAAGCAAATGCAAGTACCCGGGCCCAAGACCCGAAAGAGTGTAAGCGGATACAAATCCACTCGGCATACCGAGGCAAATGGTTAAAGTTTAAAGTTTTCTCACGCGTCTGAGGAACTGGCAGGCTCAACAAAGGTGTCCAGATCGATGCCATCAGCGATCCGAGTGACGACCTCAATGAATGTCTCGTTAAGGCGAGCCATCATCGTCTCCAAGTCACTATGGAGTGTCTCCTCTGGCGAATGATTTTCCCCAAGGCGTCGTCGAGACGAGCTTCCAGTCGAAGAATGCCTAGGGCTGTCTTGTCCTTGACAAGTGACCTGGTGGGATCCAGATCCCTCTCAATCCTCTCAGTCTCCAACTCGACGTCGCGGCAGTATTCTGCCAAAAAAATATATGACAAAGGTCAGCATGTGCAAACAAGGTTCACTCGGAAACAAACAAAGTTCACCCGGACGGTATAAAATATCTTCGAGCTTGGCGCGCATCTCCTCGGTAGAATCCTATATGTACTTCTCCAGAGAGTCCCTTTTTCGGGTAAGCGATCTTCTCGTTCAAAGTCTTCTTCTCCTGCTCGAAAGCACTCGCCTGGGTCTTGAACTTGTCATCCCACTCGGCTTGTCGCTTTTTGAGCTCGGCGATCTCCTTCTTCGCCTCCTCAGCAGCAGTCTTTAGCGATTTGTTCTCCTCAAGCTTCTTGATTGCAGCCAACTTCTCTTCGGCAGCCTTGGTTTTCTCTCTCGCCACCTTCTGTGCTCCCACCAGATCGTTGTCCTTGTCGACAAGGGACTGCTGCATAGGTTCTAAAGAAATGCAGTTCGTGAGTCGCAGTTGGACGATGGTTTTCAATGAAAATAAGACACTCGGTTGCTGAAACTTACCTCTCATGGTCTGCACCTCCACCTGCGCATGGGCTGCGTTCCCCTTCTCCACCTCCAGATCCAGTCGGAGTTGGTTCTCCTCTTTCTCCAGTGACACATAATGAGCTCCGAGCTCGCAAGTTCTCTGGAGTACAAAAAAATGAGTCGATCGACGGTAAAAGGTACTCCGAGTGCTTGAAGATCAACACACCCGGAAGGAACAAGCTAGACCAGTACCAGATCCTCAAGCACCCTCTTACCTTGCTGGCATCGTACACCTCCTTCAGGCGCTGGGTCATCAGCTTCGCTTGGATCATTGCCTCCTTGCTGGCCCCCATCTGGTCCTCCGACACTCTATGCAAGCTGAACAAGCTGATGGGAGGGACAACGCCGGAGCTGGGGCAGTTGGTGCGGCCGCAATGGGATCAGTACCAGCGTGGGAAGAGCCCCTCGGCGTCTGTGGCGCGGTCTCACTGGACTCGGGCAGAGCTTGAGGCACTTGGCGTGGTGGCGTCTTCCGAGCAGCGGTTCTCGAGTCGGTCGACGTCTTGCTTCCTTTCTTGGCGCTCTTCTGTGGCGGCTCTTTGTCGTCGTCCCCAATAAGGATGATTTCTGCGGGCGCTGCGTTCACTCGACATCATCAGCCACAGTTCACGGTTCAGCCGGATCGAAAGGCAAAACAAAAGAAAACAGTCTGAACCTTTCTGGGAAGTGGCCACATCCCTGGACTCAGCCTCGACGCATTCCCCGTCGACCTGCATCAGCGACGTCGTTGAAGTTGCAACTCTGGTTCATAGATTCACTCGTTCAACAAGAATCAATGGAGTTCCCTGAAGCGAAAGAGGGAAGTGCAATACTTACGTCGACGTGATGGGCATAGTCACCTTGATTCTAGGCAGGGCCACAGCCTTCCGAGGTTTGGGGGTTGCTACCTTGGGCTACTTGGCAGTCTTCTCTGCTGGCTCCGGCGACGCCGTCCGAGTGCGCTTTGGATTCCTTGCGCTCGGAGCCGCGCCACTGGTCTGGCGCCCACTCGGATCATGGGACTTCTTGGTGCGGCGTTCTATGCGCTCCTCAGCAGATGGGGAAGACTCGGCCTCGCCCCCTCTTCCGTGTCGTCCTCCTCCTCGCTGTACTCTTCACTATCAACATTGCCATGGACTATCCACATTCCCAAGAATGTGGTCTCCATTCGGCACGGGCGAAAACATTTACTGGAACTCCTGCGAGGCACGAGAAACGCAAACAGTTAGATCAGTCGAAGTCACTCGGATATCTTATGCAGAAATGATTCAGTCGGAAATACAAGCTTACCTTCGTTGGCCGGTGCTCGTTGTCGTACAGCGGGATCCGCCTCGACCACCGAGGGTACAGCGAGTGCCGGTGAGGCTCATGAGCCACCCTTCCACGACCTTCTTGTCCATGTGCTCCGAGTCTACTCGAGTCGGATCGTTGGGGCCCTTATACAACCACATGGGGTGAGCCTGTTCCTGCAAAGGCTGAACCCATTGTCGTAGGAAAACCTCGAGCAGATCCAGGCCCGTCACTCCGCCCTAAATCAGCCCGACTACAGCCTAGAAAGCATGGACACGGTAGGAATTGCCGATCTGCCGTTCTGATACGGCGGGATACGGGACACGGCGGGATACGGCAGGATACGCGTGTCCCCCAGTATCCCATGATTTTCGATTAAAAATAAAGAAAAAAATGAGGGGATACGGTGGGATACGTCCGTGACACGGTTGGGATACGGCCTGGCCCAATAACAGGCCCAAAACGAAACCCTATGTTTTACATGAGTCGCACGCATCTCTTCCACACAAAAGCGATGTGCTCCCAGGTCGCAGCCTCTCCTGGATCAAAGCCGCCACCTCCTGGATCGAAGCCACCGCCGCCGCCGGCGGCGACACCTGCACTCGACCGGCGACTGCTACCCCACAACACCAGCAGGCAGCAGCCTCTCCTCCCAACGGCAGGTAACCCTCCCCAATCTCCAAACCCAGCAGCCTCTCCTCAACTTCTTCATCTCTTTTATTCTGATTCCTTCCATTGAACTAATGGATGGTGTGCTTGCTGCTCTTTGAATGATTGTAGTAATCATGCTGCTATTTCAATGCTTGTGCTGCCGGCCTGCTGCCGCTGCTGCTGACTTGCTGTTGCCTGTTGCTACCCATGTCATGTTTGCTAGTTGCTAGTTGAATGCTTGTGCTGCTGTTGAACTTGAATGATGATTGATGAATACTTGGTCCTTGTACTGCTTGATGTTAGGTTGCATGGCATGGGGGGATGAGGATCAATCAAGGACTTGATAAAAAGAGACACCAAATGGGGCAGGATTCTCTATTTTGATTTCTTTCCCATTAATTTTCTGTCTTAACTCTATATTACATGGCATATTTTCATTTTATTTTATATATACTCGCTGTATCCCCGAATGGCTGTTTCTGAAAAATGCCGTATCCCATATCCTCGTATGCGTATCCCCGTCTTTCCGTCCCCGTGTCCGTGCTTTTTAGACTACAGCGGTCACTAGGATCCCCACATTCGTCTTTACTTCCTTGTCCATCGTCAGTGACGAAGGAAGATTGACCCTCTCGGTCGTATAAGGGAGAAGACTAGTCGACGAGCCGGTGCAAGGGATATCATTGCAGTAGAACCATCTGACGGAATCAGGAAAGGTCAGCGTCGGGAAAGCGCTCCTACCCCTCATCTGGATCCCTAATCCACCACACAGTTGGGTCACGTGGGTTCTCTCTCCGTCAGGAGAAGCCTTTTTCACCGACTGAGAGCGACATGTGAAGATGTGCTTAAACAACTCCCAATGCGGCTGGCAACCCAGGAAGTTTTCACACATGGAAACGAATGCGGCAAGGTACGCTATGGTGTTCGGAGGAAGGTGGTGGAGTTGAGCACCGAAGTAATTCAAGAAATCACGGAAGAAAGGGTGGGGTGGCATAGAGAAACCTGGCTCCACGTGGGTGACGAGGAGCGCGCGCTCCCCTGGCCGCGGCGCAAGCTCGACCCCTCCCTCCTCCGGAAGCCTCCAACTCCCTTCCGGCAGCCTCCAACTCCCCTCCGGCAGCAATCCGTTGATGACGAGTCCACCGAGATCTTTCGCTGTGGTGGTCGGCGGGAGTCAATCACCCTAGACACAGCCCGTCGGAGGCGCAACCTTGGAGCTCGACCTCTTCTTCCCCTTCTTTGCCTTCTCCAGTTTCGTCGTCTTGTCCTTTGCCATCGCCGCGGAGCACTAAGGTGCTGAGCGGGCTCACTCAGAGTGGAGAAGAGGAAACGGGAGGACTGGGGGCCAGAGGAGAAAGGGGATCTGGTGCCCTCCCCCTGACGCGGGGGCCCTCTTATAGCACCGATCCCTCCGCCCTCTAATCCTCACCGCTGGCTTCCTGGCCCGCGGATCTCCTCGAATCTCGCTGGCGGAGATCCTGCGATACGTGGCGAAAAGCGAGGCGAAAATCGAGGCATCACGCCCCACTTCCCCCACTCACCGCGTTGCAACTGTTCGCGCGCGCACTCATTCCCTATTTCGAATCCCGCGAAATCTGGGATCCGACAATCCAATTGCTCGTCATTTAAAGCCCTTCCAAAAACGCTCGGGCCTGGCCAGCCGCCCGACGCACGAAGGCTCATTTCACTCGGACGGTGCTACCCCTCAATCGGCTCGGCTCAGAGCAGAGCCCTCACTCGGACGCCACGTGAGATCCAATCCGTCGAGGCGTCGTGCAAGGTCAGAGACCGTCGAATGACCAGCAAGAGCCCTTGACTGCTTCCATAGCACTCGGCTCACCTGGGAATTCACTCCAACTTAACCCTCCTAAACCCGACTGATTCAGGGGCTAATGATGGGGTCATGTACTAAGGGTAGGGTAACGGTCCTGACCTAGAGACCCTACCCTAGGACACCATACACCTTATACTGGGCCCTAGGGCCAGGATACCATTCAGATGCACGTCAGTCAGAACGTTCACTCGGACGGAAGCATTCCACTCGACCGAACTCGTCGGCACTCGGACCAAGAAGACCAGGAGACTCCTCGGAATTACAACGGTCAGGACGTGTGTTCACCCTCATCAAGTGTAGTTAATGCACCCGTTACTAGTGACGGCCGTCCTTAAACTCCCC